GAAAAATAAACATAAATATTTTCTATAAATAATAGTTATTAAGTAAATATAGCTGTAGTTTATGTATTTGATCTAATAATATTTGATCTAACAGCACAATGAGAGTATATATTGTGACGATTACTTGGTATATTAACATAAAAGTCAGCATTTCAGATTAAATAGGGTTCGACACCTGGTACTTATTTTCCAAAAGTTTTCTAGAGACAAGTTAACTGGTCTAAAAAAAACCAGTGGAAACGTACTATTTGTTCATGTCAAAAGACAAAATAAATATTTTTATTAATTGTCAGCATATACAGATAAAATAAATAAATCAACATTAGCAATTCCCAAAAAATAAGTCTCTAGCACATTTTGTGATTACTCAGGCATATATACGACGTGTCTCTTACTACTGAAAGCATGAGAACAGAATTTCTAGTGAGAGTCACCATCAAAACAACGGGTCAATTATGATTTTGGATATTATTTGGTTATATCAATCGTCAATGGTCGATGGTATTGGGGGTTTTTAGATTAGACTAAGGCCCATTTGTACTGCGAGGAGCTTGAACCACTGTGCACCCTTTTGTATTTAGACATTTAGTATCTCGAGAAATCGAACCAGCTCCTTCGGAGGGAGCTTTCGAAGATTTTCATCCTCTAGTGGGTATGCACCCAAAATTTTGTTTCTTCTGTGGCCTAGTGCATCACATCACAGGTGATCAGATATTTCATAGACTCCTCCTATACTTGGTTTTTTACTCAATTATATGTATCTCCAACTACTGAGGGAGCGAGAACAGATCAAATCAAAGCAGCATCTTTTTTTTAAAGTTAAATGATCTTATTAAGTCGTGTGTTACTCTAATATAAAAAATTTGTACTTTTTTGGATTGCAATGTGTTAATTATTTAACTGATGTAGCTATCCATTAATTATGAGGAAATAAATGTGTTATAAATAAATTTGCTTATTGCATCAAAATTTTGAAATAGGTACAAAATTCAATTCAGAAATCGAATTAATTTAATATTTATACAATATATGTATACAATATGTAGCAAAACTTTAATAGTATATATCAATATGGGTTTTATTGCAGATTACAGTGAAATGCAACTCAATAGATTTCAGAGCAATTAAAAACCTAAAGCATAAAATTGTAGCTCATCCTAATAAAAAAAAGAACCTTTGGACATGTTGAATTTTCTGTTCGTGGCTAAGCAGGATTCGAGCCATGATTTATGATTTATTTTCAGATTTTTTCTTCGTTTTTCCATGGCAATAAAATAGATTAAAAACGAAAACAGATCAAAAAACAAAAATGTTGAAATAGAATTTTAATAAACAATTTGAATAGCAAATATTGAAAGTCAATATAGTAAGAGAACGAATGGTAAAATGGCAAAATGGCAAAATGGCAAAAATGGTAAAAATGGTAAAAATTTTAAATTTAAATAATTTTTTTTACTGAACAGCAACCGCACTGATTGGATTTCACAACCGAACAGAATTGCTAAAATTTATTTTACAATATTAATTTTTATTGTTATTGAAGTGAAATATTTGCATTTTATGCACTCAGAATCTCGCATAGCTTTGCATATAAAAATTAAAAATCAAGCTTGAACTCAAGCTAAGAGGACAATGTCAAAGCACCGCTGAGTTGAGCACTGCCACAAAATCTGAAACTGGCTGTGGCACTGCTGTTTACATGGAATCACATTGTTCATTTCGATCAGCAATTATCACTTCGCAGTTGAAATGCCACCTAATGAAAAATGAAAGTTCGTTTGCGAATAAATGACTGCTATCTTGCCTATCTATCTTGTCCCAAGGAACGCAGATTTCAATTGAACGCTATAGTCGATTTGGCCAGGATATGTGACACATTAAAGTCACATGCATGCTCAGTAGTTTTCATTAATTAGTCATTTATTACAGACATAATTCAAATGCACCACGCTAAAAGTAGCCAAAAATACTACCATTTTGTGTGAACATCTATCTCACAATCTCACAATCTCACAATCGCACAATCTCATGGAAACACAGCAGGAGCAGGAGTAGCTCAGTGGAATTTCGTGATTTGAGGTTTTCAGCACTTCACAGTGTCAGCGTTTCATTCAAGCCATCTTGTCATGGTGCGTTTCCAATTTCATTGCTACTGCAATTGATGTTGCTGCCGCTGCTATTACTACTGCTGTTGCACTTGCTGCAGTTGCTGCTGTTGGTGTTGTTGGTGCTGTTGGTACTATGATATAGCAACATTATTAACTAAAACAACAGCACCAAAGGCAACTAATTTCGTTTTCAATAACTACAAGCAAACGAAAATGTTGTTGTTGGTGTTGTTCTATTATAGTTTGTATTGTTTGTGTTGCTAGTGTTGTTTGGCTGTTGTTATTAAAGTCATTGTTATCGTGTTCTATGTGAAAAGTTGTTTGCTGTTGGAAAAGATGTTCCTTGTACTACAACGAGCGATAACATTCAGTACGAGTACACATGCACAAAGGCATTAACAAAGTGCAACACTGTCATGCCCCGACGCGTGCATGCATACTTAATGTTTCATGTGCTTGGGAGCTTCTGAGCTGTTGAGCTTGTGTGCCATGGAAAACATATTGCAAAATGCGTTTAGATTACTTTTTAGTCTGAAAACGTGTTGAATTATAATTAACAAGAAGAACTCTCGCTTAGATAAACAATAACGCAATTTTTTTTTCTATTTTTTCCATTGCGTTCCTCAACAAAAATAAAAACCAAATTGACAAAACCTTTTAGTGCATTTGTGTTTGCACTTCTGCACTGAGAAGAAGTTCAGAAGTGCAAACTACACTTGCAATGCGTATATTGCCATTTTGTATTTGTATTCGATACCTATTAGGGACTTGGTGACACTAATGGATACAGTATATAAAAGATTTGGAATGCCCACTAGCGGCCTCTTTCAATTTGTAAAGTACTTTCAAATGAGAGAACTGCATACGTTAAGCCACACAAATACTCAAAAGACTATTTTTTTTATGTTATAACATTAATTTTTGCATTTGTACATCTTAAAGATACTTACCTTAAAGATACCTGCCTTAAAGATACCCACATTAAAGGCTGTGATGAAACAGCCTTATCGTATTCCCTTCACCTACTTCGCTATAGGAATTTAGGAACCATTTTAAACGTTTATTATAGTTTGCCATGTAAGGTAGATGTGTAGAAATTATGCTATGTAATCTATAGATAAATAAATGGTGGTAGTACCATATATATACCAGAAGAAGAGCTCAATTAGGTAATAAGTGCATCAGACACCATGAAAATGTTTTGAGGCACTGGCTTATGTGCACTGAACTAAGATTCTTGTCAGAAATTTTTATTATACAATAACTTTTCAGTAATCTCAAAGCTGAAAAAATAAAGGAGTCAACTCCTTTGACTCTTTGAATCTATTGAATCACATATAGCGTTATTTTATATAGATAAAAATTTTTTTAATAAAAGTAAGTAAGTAATTTCTTCGAATTCTTGAAATGTTAGATATATTCAATAGAAATCTATAAGTAATAAATACTTTTTTCGAAGTTGAAAAGTTAGATATATTCAGTAGTTTTCTTGTAAATGAGTTCAAGTTAATTTGAAGTAAAATATATTAATTTCAATCTCTCGATGTCAACATAAACCATCAACATAACATGTAGAATAAGATCGACTTTTCTAGTAGTTGCATTCCGCTATGACTGATACTATAAGACATTTATTTATTTATATTGATATACAGTAAGACCATATATGCCAGATGTAGCAGGAATATTTAGTAAATGCGTCAATGGAAATCTAATAATATTACCTTTCAAATGTCATGTTTTGACTTTATGTCTTGTGATTGCTTGGCAAAGACTCCAGTAATTTCAAACAACTTTTAATGAACGAATTCAATACTCAAAATTTGATTCGGTTAGTTTTGGAGGCCTTCTCCATGGTTACTTACCTCTCCAATCTAATAATAATAATAAATATTACCAATTCTCATTTTAATCACTTTACGATATTTATTTTTAATTCGTTATTTACTGTGTTATTTATTTAGGGGGGCATGAAAATATATAATAAATTTCAAATCATTAATAACCAATAAATATTTTAATTTAAATTACATGTACACCAATAGTGGAGTAAGTTGCAAGTAACGTGCCAACAATTAGATTGTATGCAACGTCACGCCGAAGGGCATGGAGATTTATGGCATAAACAGGCAATCGTCTTAAATGAAAACCATCAAAAGACTGATACGACTGTGGTAATATTATCCTCATCATCATCAACAACTCCAGCAACAAAAGTAACCACATCAGCAACAATAACCTCAACAGCGACACCATTACAACCAACAACAATAATCACAACTGCTACAATAGTTAGGGGAGCAGACGTAGAGGCTAATACACCAGTTACAGTTACAACTGCAGCAATATCAGCAGCAAAAACTGACATTAATGAAACAAATGAACCAATAATAACAACAACAGCAACAACAGCAACAGCAACAACAACAACAACAACAACATCAACAGCAACGACATCAACTACAGCAGCAACAATGGCAGCAACAACTCTTAACAAAAGTACAGAAAGCACAGCTTGTATTATTGGCAGCAACATTAACAGTGCTAGCAATAAGGTCAAAAAAATATCAACAGCAACAGCAGGAGTAGCAGGAGTAGCAGGAGCAGCAGGAGCAACAACAACAGTGCCATCAACATCAACATCAACGACAACACCAACACCAACAAAACCTAATGATTGGGTTGTTATACCGGTGTTTGCGGATATTGTTAAATTGGCATTGGCCGGACGAGAAGATTGCTTGCAACGGTAAGTTAAAAACTTTGTATCTCAAAAAAGCACACACACACACACTCTCACACGCATATACAGAGCCATACATACTCATGTGAGGACATGCAGAGTTGGGGGATTTCGTTAAATGGGATTTTTAATTGGTTACATTGGCCGGTTCGGTTAAATGCTTGTTGTCAATTACCATTTGACAATGTTATATGAAAATTTGGGTTTAAAATTCGTCGTTTCTTCTGCGTTGGCAACCTTTTACTTTATTGGAACTAATAAAGCATAAAACTGAATGAAATCTGGACGCTTGCTCAACTATCGACAACTATGAAATGGACAATTTTCGACATTTTCGGAATTTTTTTCATTTGAATTCCAAAAACTTCTTCATAACTTCAGCCTCGAAATTAAGTGAAAGAAATCAATAAAAGTTTATAGAACAGTAAAAAGTATGCCAGTATTTTAACACCACTTTACAATGAAACAATGACGTCAATTGAAGAATAAGTATATATACATATGGTTTATATGAATTCCACTTTAATATTTATTAGGTAGAACTTATAGAACAGTAAAAAAAATTTAATTCCACTCCAGTACGTGACTTCAATTGAAGACTGAGTTTATACACATATAGAACATATGAATTCAATTTTTATTTATGTAAAGAGAATAATGTTTAATCTTTTATCTTCATATAAAGAGTTATTCTCTATTCTTCATAGTATTATCAAATATATAAGAGCCTTAGAAGATATGGCTGTAATAATTTTTCTTATATTAAGTTAACTGGTTTTACTAATTAAAAATAGGTATATGGGAGCCATTTTGATGATAGCGATTTTGGTTTTCCTTGAATTTATTTCCCAATCCTGCCCCTTGTATGTTAAGCTTCATACAGTAGTTGCACTGCTGATCAAATTTTCACTTATTTAAGTGTTCCAAAAATGGAGGTCTTTGAAATGTAAACATTCAGTAGCGGTAAAGATTTCAGAAGCTATATTTCCAAATTTGAAAATGAATATGAATTATATATAGTGAATGCGGTGGTTCTGGTATTCTTGTCAATTTTATAGACTGTTTAAAATCAGTAGTACAGTTTATATATATTAAGAGGTATGCATTAAATGCAGGGTTTGAATTGCTGTTGCTAATTGCATTGCTTGCATAATTGCTAACGCATTGCATATGAAAATGAAATAAAAATATGCATTAGCAACAGCAAAAAACGAAAACTGGTTTCATTTTGATTGCTTGCTAATAGTCAATTTTACATTTTTGACTATTATGCATTTGGAATATATGCAACTTGCTTGCTTATGCGTTAGTTGCTTGTGTTTTGCTATTAGCAAATGTGTATGGATTTCTTTTTTTGTTTTTGTTTTAAGGGAATGTGTACGCATTATTTCTTTGTCAATTATGATGTGTGCGTACAATTTGTATGCAATTAATATAATTTTATTTGTAATTAGATTATGCCTAAACTTATGTTTATTTTAATTATTAAATTTATGATATATATGATATATATATATATATATAGATAGATATATATATATATATATTAATTATTAACTATTAATTCATATATAAATAAATATATATATATATATAATATATATAAATAATTTTGTATTAAAATTAAAATATAACTTAATATTTAAAACAGTTTAAAAAGTGAAATTTTTTATTTTATTTAAAAAACGTTTTTATAAATTAATGTGTTTAATAAACGACCTACGCCCGGTAAAAAACATAAAAACTTTGTTATCAATTATGATTAAAAATTTTAATTTGATGTTATTATTCTTCTAAATTTAAGTCCCATTCAGGAGGTTGAAACAACGGCATATCATCAATAGCATGGTCCAAAAATTGAGGATTTAGTTTAACCATGAGAATGTTTTCTAAAGTTTCATGATTAAGACGATTCCGTTGATCAGATAATATCAATTTTAGTGACGAAAAAGCACGCTCGATGGTAACCTTAAATGTAAATGACATTAATTTGATTATTCATATTATGCTAAACGAATATTTTACCTGAGTTGGTGGAATTGCAAAACATATATTCGCAAGCGCATGTAATTCTGGATCAGCAAACTGTCTTTCCTTCCAAAAGTCCAATACATTTATATCAACACGTTGAAAAGGTAACTTCAAAATTTCAATTTTGGTGTAGACGTCCATGTTGTTATTACTTTGAGCTTCGAAGTGGTTAGAAAGATAATCATTAAGGTACCTATCCTCATATTCGAGAGTATCTTCCATTTGTGTGCAATTTGTGGCTGAATTCTTCTTATCAATTAGGAAACCTGAGTTCAGTGCTGTCAGTCTATTATATAGTCGTTTTAAAAACAGAACAGCTTCGTTTTTTTGCTCTACAGTCAATGTATGGCTAAAGCGTGGGTCCAAATACAAACATGCGTTTAAGCTTTTGTTTGATTGTTTTCGGAATGATTTTTTCACAACTATTGCACTAGTACTTGAGCTGGAATCTTCATTTTCATTTATATTTAACTGGTGCATATTTTTTAAATGCGTTCTTAAATTAAATATTCTGTCCCTCTTCAACGAATGTTTGCAAATTTTACAAACTGCTAAATCGCTATCACTAATTATTTTAAAATATTGAAATGTTAATTAATATATATATATATATCTATCTATATATATATATATATATCATATATATCAGAAATTTAATAATTAAAATAAACATAAGTTTAGGCATAATCTAATTACAAATAAAATTATATTAATTGCATACAAATTGTACGCACACATCATAATTGACAAAGAAATAATGCGTGCACATTCCCTTAAAACAAAAACAAAAAAAGAAATCCATACACATTTGCTAATAGCAAAACACAAGCAACTAACGCATAAGCAAGCAAGTTGCATATATTCCAAATGCATAATAGTCAAAAATGTAAAATTGACTATTAGCAAGCAATCAAAATGAAACCAGTTTTCGTTTTTTGCTGTTGCTAATGCATATTTTTATTTCATTTTCATATGCAATGCGTTAGCAATTAGTCGTTTGACAAAAATCGACTGGTTAATATTTATGCATTAGTCAAAATATGGTTGCTTTTGCTAATTTTCAGCAAGCAATTCAAACCCTGATTAAATGCAACAAAAAAAATATTTTTATTGCACTTAAATGCAGAAAATGTTAAATAATTTATCTTATACTTCAGTAACTGATGCTGAGAATTCATAAAAATTAATTACAAGAAAGTAGATAAGCATAAGTGGGGTAAGAGAGTAAAAGAGAAGTTAAAAAGAAAGACGGATGTTGAGTAAAGAATTTTTCTTCTCTCTAGGTTATTCGACAAATTAATTTTAATAGACGTAACTTTTATTTTCTCATAATTATTAATTTAATATTTAACTCTAAACTGTAACTGTATAATGTGAATTTCAATATTTTACTCTAATTTTACTCTAGACTGCAGCAGACTTTTAGCCCATGATTGTAAAAAAATCTTAACGTTTGCAGTTAGAAAATTTTTTTTTAAACACAATTATTTTTCACAGGAATATTTAATTTTGAGTCCTGAGTTATTTCACTCAACTGCATTTGTTATTATTGTAATGAGCAATTAAAAAAAATTATTTTTCTTTTTTTTGTGATTTTTTTTTGACTGCCAGAGCCTATAAAAAAATAAATATTTAACTAATGTTTTTTTGTTTTTTTTTGTTGCATAAATTTTTGCCTCAGCTGGTGCAAGTTTATTAATTTCATAAATTATTATAATTATATGTGCTCATTCAATTTTCATTGCAACAAAAAAAAAAAAAAAACGAAAAAAAAAGAACGAGTCCTTAAGTTACCAGAAAGCAATTAATTTTTTCTAGCTGAGTCAATAGCCGCGTAAAGTAGACACCCCATTAAATCCTTCGCATGCATAATGAGTGAATTTAAAATAAAACAATTTTTTATTGTGCAACATTTTGCTCCAGCTCCAGCTTCGCCTCCAGCTTCAGCATCGCGATTTGCGTCGTGCCAGCATCCCTTCAGCGTAACAGGAGCTACAAGCAGGATATGCTTGCTATTGCTACATGCAACGAACAAAAAAATGCCAACAACAAAAAGTGTAATAACATTTCTTAGCGTGGGACTTGTTCACATTTAATTAGCCTACCGAGCAGAAGGACGTCGCTGCTCTGTTCATGTGTTGTTGGTATGGTTGGTGTTGTTGCAAATGCAGTACGTGACATACGTATGCGCGTTCATTGTTTCACCACGGCTTCTAACCTAACTCACATGTAAGTCGGCTTTTGGTGGAGTCGGCTGAGTTTGTGTGAGTATGTGTGTGTGTGTGTATGTGTGCTGCTTGCATTTTGTTTGCGTGGCAGTAAGTACGTGTTGAAGGAACAGTGCGCAGTTATTTTAATTAAAGTGAAACGATTGAAACTTACCCCACACACACACACACACACACAAGCTAACTGACACATGTTGGACGCACAAGTGCACTTCAAACTCATTTTATGCTAATTATTGTAAACACTTCAACCAGGCGACTTTTGCGTACTTTCAGCTAAAATTAAAAGTTTCACATTAGCCGAAGTCCTTGCCTTCAGTCTTAATGTTTCAATGCCGTTGTTGCTTATTGTTGTTGCTTGTTGTTTGTTGTTGTTGTTTGTTGTTACGTGCAGTTAATTGCTAATAAAATATTGATGTTTTGAGATAATACCGACCGATTGAGAGTGTTAAGTGCGTCAAGTGTTTCGCAACGAGGGTATCTGAGCGAGTATCTGAGCAAATAGCGGATTAGCTTTCATTTCACATCTTAATGACATTATTCTATGTTAAGTACCGAGTCTGCCGCCGTTTAACTGGAAGCTATTGTAAATGATTAAATCAATAAACAGTTTAGTTTTCTTTGAAATTAAAGTTGGTACGTGAAGTTTATATTTGCAAAATAAAGAAGATAAAATTAGGTAAGACTTTTGAAAAATTTTCGAATATCCATAGTCCTTCCGTTCTTCCTTTTATTTTTTATTTGTAT